CAACGCTTTGCAAGCTCTTTGGCATCAACTCAACTCACCGTGTTTGGAGGAGAAGGAATGCTGCCTATGACCCCAAGAACATCATCCCAACTGTCAAACATGGTGGTGGAAACATTCTGCTTTGGGGGTGTTTTCTGCTAAGGGGACGGACAACTGCACCGCATCAAAGGGACGATGGACGGGGCAATGTACCATCAAATCTTGAGTGAGAACCTTCTTCCCTCAGCCAGAACACTGAAGATGGGTCATGGATGGGTGTTCCAGCATGACAATGACCCAAAACACACGGCCAAGGCAACATAGGAGTGGCTCAAGAAGAAGCACATTAAGGTCCTGGAGTGGCCTAGCCAGTCTTCAGACCTTAATCCCATTGAAAATCTGTGGAGGGAGCTGAAAGTTTGAGTTGCCAAATGTCAGCCACCAAACCTTAAAGACTTGGAGAGGATCTGCCAAGAGGAGTGGACCAAAGTCCCTCCTGAGATGTGTGCAAACCTGGTGGCCAACTACAGGAAACGTCTGACCTCTGTGATTGCCAACAAGGGATTTGCCACCAAGTACTAAGTCATGTTTTGTGAAGGGGATCAAATACTTATTTCCCTCATGAACATGCAAATCAGTCATCATTTGTTAGACATGCATTTCTGCTGAATTTTTTGTTTGCTATTCTGTCTCTCAGTTTTACAGTACACCTACCCAGGGGCGGACTGACAACTCATGGGGCCCCCAGGCAATAGGGGATCATGGGGCCCCTGTGTCCTTGCCCAAACTCAAAAAAGCCTATGAAAAAGGTACCAGGGGCATTTCATGAGGCCCCCTACTGACCCCGGGCCCTCGGGCAGTGCCCAAGTTTCCAAATGGTTAGTCCGCCCCTGCACCTACCATTCAATTTTTAGACTGATCATTTCTTTGTGAGTGGGCAAACATTCAAGATCAAATACTTATTTCCTTCACTGTACATACACATACTAGGGCCAATGTAGACAGGAGCCAATTAACCTACTTTCCATATCAGCCTGACAGCAAAAACCATGCCCATTCCTGTTCCTGAAATATCAGAAGGTAAGGCACAGGCCTTGGTTTGTAATCTCTAGGGGTGTTTCATAAACTGCAGCTTTGACAGTTTCATATTTCAGGTAGATGTTAGATGTGACCACATAGAGAAGTGCCAGCCGGTTATGTCATGAATAAAGGAAATATTGTGCAGGTCTACATGGGTCATCACAGCGGCTTGATAAACATTTCCTGACGTCTGAGGATTTCTACAATCCAGCAATATCTCCCGCAATCTGCAGCACCTCTGGGACTCACGGGTAGTTTGGCGTCCTGTCCGCGGTCAGCCGGAGTGAAGACATTGAGGTACAGGCAATCCTCGGATACATTTGGGAGCTTGATTCTGGCTTTGATCATATCTATAATACTTTTCATTATTTCTGTGCTCTGCAGACACCTGAAAGAGAAGAAATAAGATCAGAGCGGAGTGAGGATCTTGGGGAGGAGGGGACCCCACAATCGCTTCATGGAGGCACCCACTGATGTACGACAATAAAGATATAAAGATGCCTCCATACCAGGACCGAGGCAGAGGCAAGAGAGGCACTCACCTAAGCTGCAACACTATCAATTTTTTTAATAAACATTTATTATATTGCAGCTTACAAATTCTTAGCTGGGGTGGCTGCATTCATTTTCTTTTGTAGGCTATCTTTTATTTTCACTTGGTGATAGAACAAATAGAACAAACTGTCCTGCAAATGTAGCAGTTAGAGGGTTGAAACAAACCATTTACCACTGACAGTGGTGCTTACAGTGATCAGCATATCAGCATTTATTTATTAAAGTGTTACTAAACCCACAACAAAGCTGAAATATGATAAATGTTTGCTTTGGGGATTATTACTGTTTAATAAAAGACACGGGATGCATTTGTGATCAGTAGATAATGTAATTCCAATGATAAATTAAAGTGTTACTGAACCCACACGATAGTAAATCCAGTCTGTATATGCAGTAAAGCACGCTCATTATACTCACTGTGGAACCTAAGGGGTTAATCGTCTGCATTGAGTAAAAATGCTGTTTGATCCGGACTTCTCTGATCCTCCCCTTCTTCCAGTGCCCCTCCCTTATCTCCTAAGACTTATCATGTGAAGACATTCTGCACATGCTCATTTTGGTGTGTATTTCTAGAGGGTTTTTTTTTTTGGGAGAGTGCATGTGATCAGCACAGGGCCAATCAGCACTGTCCAGACAGATGTCAGGGGTTCTGAATCCTCCTAGAGCAGAAAGAAAACTCCTCCATCAAGCTCCTCCATCAAGCTTTAACATGTGCTCTGCTGGACACTGATATAGCGAATGCAGGGTCCGGGGAGACCAGATATAGCGAATACAGGGTCCGGGGAGACCAGATATAGCGAATGCAGGGTCCGGGGAGACCAGATATAGCGAATGCAGGGTCCGGGGAGACCAGATATAGCGAATGCAGGGTCCGGGGAGACCAGAT